TCTGCTCCCCTACCAAATTCAAATGCATGTCTCTCTGTGTGTCAAACATGTACAGATAGACTCTCATATACATGCACTCTCTCAACACAAAATATTTTTCTTCAGGAGGGAAAGCAATACAAAGATGCTTTATTTATTAAATTCACCCATAGGTAACTCCAGGCAGATCACATCCAATCGTGTTGATAATTTGTTCTATTTCTTCACCAATCTTTTATCCTGAGAAGATTTTTAGAACCATATTTTATGAAATGCATTACCTAGTTGACATGGCCTAGTGAATGAACTATTATATTTTATGTCATTAAATATTTTATACTTCTGTTTTAATCAAGAATACAATCCACTATATTTAGTAAGGAGCATTATCTTTCTTTATGGAGCTATGCTTTGCACAAAAGCTATGATTTCTCTGATATATGGCACATTCAGCATTTATTAGCAATGGCAATTTCTTCGTACTCAATATGCATAGTTAAAACAGTATCATGCTTTAAAGGAGCTTCATTCAAAAACCTCAAAAGCACCAATTTCTTTTAAGTCCAGCATACTTTATATTAGCATAACAATCTAGTTTACCTGCAATTTTCATTCTGTTCTGCTGAATTACAACCATTTCTGTTTTTCTCATGCTAAAGTATAGGAGAATGAAGCACTGTTTTTCTAAATTTTCCTCTAGATCTTGGAAAATCAAATTTAGGAATCTCTGGAAGATTCAATTAGGTCATTTCTAGAGCTCTGCATGGGTTCCTTAAAGAGAATATGTATGTGATCTCTGTACACAGGTCCCCTTCAGGGACTGGTATAGCAAATCTAGGTTGACAACCTTGAGCCAGTGAGAATTGAACTGCTGGCAGTGGCAGAATTAGCCTGCAATACTGCATTCTAACCATTGTGCTACCAGAGTATTTGGACTTAGCAAACTGTGTAAGACTGAGTTCCTAAGTAAATTAGACTGCTAATAAAGGAGAATATTTGTAGCTCAGGGTTGACGTGAGGGGTCCTTGGTGCTCTCTGAGCTTGCTTGTTTTCTTGCAAACATTTCATTACCCAAACTAGGTAACATCATCAGTGCTAGAGTGACTAGCACTGATGATGTTACCTACATTGGGTAATGAAATGTCTGCAAGAAAACAAGCAAGCTCAGACAGCATCAAGGACCTCTCAAATTAGACTGCATTGGTGACACCCAACATGGCTGACAGCTTATTCTCACATAGAAACAAATTCAGTTTTAGTATCTGTATACATTATTGAAAAGAGGTATGCATGATAAATCACTAAAAGTTATTTATCTTACGGGGATAATTTCAAATGATTAAATAAAATATTTAATAGGAGAATTGTATTTCATGATACACTAATTTGTATGCCATGTTACATAGTAGAATTTCCTATTAAAAAATAGCAGACAAATATGAGGTAGTTTTGTTTGAAGTACTGCATAGTAGATCCCTTTTAATTACTACAGGTCTAAGTAGACCATAACCATCAAGTCATTTATTTTCTAGCTAATAAGTTATGGGATAATTGCTAGACATTTAGCAACATAAATGTTATATAATATTGAGATTAGATAAACATGATAAAGGCTTTTTGAACTTTTTTAGAGTGCACAAAAAATGGCTTTGGAGTTAATTTTTCACTGGATAGTGGGCAAAGAATTTATACAAAGGGATCAAGAAAAATGAGAAGCAAAACTTTCAAAGTGCTAAAGATTTCAATTTCATTGTTCATGCTTCTGAAGTTCTAGCATTCATAGTGATAATATATTAGTATAATGATTTTGCTGCACTTAAATTAGATTTATCCACAAGCTTTAATTGGAGAACAGACATAAATGAACTGTGGATTCAGAATGTAAGTTTTCTCTCTGGTATTCCAATTAAAATACTCAGTTACAGATTATGTGAAAATTCTCTAACTCAATCCCTACAAAGAAAGGCAGCTTCTTATTATTAGAATATTTTATTGAACATAGTATTAGAACATTTCATTATGGCAAGATGGGCCGCAAACAAATGTAATAATAAATAAATAAATAAACATTTTTGTTTAGACTCTAAAACTAAAACTATGCTGCATTTTAAGGTATTGGCCTTCTTGATTTTTAGTTTTTGTAGGACTTGAAGTAGTTTATCCAGAAAAATGAGATAAGGTGTCTAGTCCAAGGATAGCTTCTCTTTAGATAAAAATATTTTCATAAAAGTTAGATGTCTTGGGAAGAAAGGAAGGAAGGAAGGAAGGAAGAAAAGGAAAGGAAAGGAAAGGAAAGGAAGGGACATATCAGTGGTGAAATCCAATTTTTTTTACTACCAGATCTGTGGGCGTGACTTGGTGGGCATGGTGTGGCTTGGTGGGCGTGGCAGGGGAAAGATACTACAAAATCTCCATTCCCATCCCACTCCAGGGGGAAGGATATTACAAAATCTCCATTCCCATCCCACTCTGGGAATGGTATTTGACGGTTCTCCGAACTAATCAAAATTTCCGCTACCGGTTCTCCAAACTGCTCAAAATTTCCGCTCCAGAACCTGTCAAAACCTGCTGGATTTCACCCCTGGACCATAAATAAAATTATGCTAAGAAAAGTGAGTGACTGAGTGGTATTCTATAGAAGGGATGAATAAAAAGAAAGAAGGTAATGGTCAGATGTGTGGCCCACCCATCTAACAGTTTGTTATCATTGTTGGTAAATAATAAAGAACTTAATTTCACGCAATTGCCTGCTTCTTTCATCTTGGCTTGGAATGAACTTAGTAAGGAATAAAAAAATTCCAACACTATGTTCACTATTTTTACCTGTTTTTAAACTATTGAATAATCTTTGCCTTAAAAATGTGGAAAGATATCCAAGTAAAAGAGAAGTTTAATGAAAATTGCTCGGTTATCGGCAAACAACTGCATACTGTATACTATCCACATTAGAATCTGCTCAAGGGCTCTGCTGAACCGTATTGTCCATATTTGTGTGTTGAGTTGTCTCTTTGGCTTTCATGCTGTTCCTTTCAACACGTCATCAGTCAGCAAGAAAGCGCAAACTGATTGGGACATTGTGGCATGTGATGTCCTTGTGCAGCTCTGCAATTTGGGGAATCCACCTGGTTTTCTCTAGTCCTTCTCCCACATCCTATTTTGGCATTTCAGAAATTAAAAATAATGTGAAATAAAGAAACATATGGGATGACTCATATATGTATGTCTTTAAAAAACAAACCAACCCTGAGCAGCACCAAACAAATTCTGATTTGAACTTGCATAACCAAAATCATGCAGGGAGATATCAGGGCACAAATAGTTCAAAATAAGGGTCAGTGAGCTCCCACAAATCAGTGTGGCTAGTAGCTTTATAGAGATGGAAAACAGAAAGTGACTAGCAGTTGTAATCAGGTCTGTGAAAAAATGATGAAAATGAATAAAAACAGGGAAACTGACAACTATTTAACAAAAGCTCAGTGCAACACCCTCTATTTGTTTCTGGATATCACAGTGGGGAAAACCAGGAGATGATAAATGATGCCATATCAAATATGCTTCCCTTTCTTTCTTGAATAAACCTGTCTAAATCAGATAATAATTGATCTCAGTAAGAGGAAGGCTGATACAGAACAAAGTCAAGCAATAGGAAAATACAAAATGGTGTTGGAACATTCTGGGGAAGTGCAGGTTGGTATCCAGGCCCCAAAATAAGTACATTATGTCTGGAACACCAGAAACTGTTGCCAGTTTGAAAGAATTATTTTCCAGAAACCACTGCATTATGAAATTAGGGGTATACAGTATTATGGATCTCTTTCATCATCATCATCATCATCATTAGGTCCTGTGTACACCACATTGGGCAGCAAGAGTTTTCCAGCGGTTTGAATCATTGGCAGCATCTTTTTCATTGTCCAGAGGGAAATTAAATAGTTTTTGAGACTTTTTAAATTTATTTAACTGATAAAGTGCCTCAATTGTCCAAGCCATTCCCATGTTCCCAGAATGGTGGGCTTTGCACATCCTTGTTAGGATGGGATACACATGAGGGCAATGGAATGAGGAGAGGAGACAAAGTTGGAGAGAAATAGCTGCAGACAAGATTGCTCAGTGATCAGAGGGAGAGGCAGACTGACCCATCTGTCAACATGCTTCTCTGGTCACGCCTAACAGATCACCTTGCCTCCGAAATAATGACAGCAAACCTGTTTCAGATTTTACACTCTACTTTTAATTCAGGGCAGAAGGAATCACCAAGTCTGTGAACCATGGGTGGAATTATCAAGGCACTAACCTACCTGTGCAAGGACTCTAACTACCCCCCCCACCCCCCCCCCTCATCTCCAATAAATGCATATCGATCGCCACTCCGGTACCCCCACTCGGGTCACTGTGGCACTACTATAACGGCAATAGGAGCCACAGTTTGCCATTAACTGCCACTAATCCGAGGGAGGCAATCATCGCCACATACACCCCTAGAAAAAGCGGGAGCATCAACAGGCGGCTCCCTCAGGGGCAGCCGCAGGGAGTGCGGGAGCCTCCTGAATGGAAGTAGCTGGCAGACCAAGGAGGAACAGCAGGCTCCTTTTCCCGTTCCTCTTCGGTCATTCAGCGAGCAAGGTGTCGTCCCCCCCACTCAAACACCCCCCCTCGCCTCCAGGTTTTCTGATGACTGAGAGGGCTGGGCGGAGGACCTGTACAACAGGTGCCAGAGGAAGGCAGGACCTCCAGACCCCGGGAGGGGGGGAGAGTTACGAAGGGCTCCGCGTTGGACCCCTGTTTCCCCCCAACCCCACCCTCCACACCGAGTCCGGCGCGTGCTGTGGCACGTGGGCAGCCCACGCCTCATTCCTCCTCCCCCCCCTTTGCAAAATCCACGGCCGTGTTGGCTCGGCGCGCCTTTTGCCTAAAGGCACATGCAAGACAGACGCCTCTCCTAACCACGCCCCGAGAACAATCTGCCCCCCCCCCCCCACCGCCCGCGCGCCTTTCCTCTCCCAGCCCCCAAAGAACCTGTGATGCGGTTCTTTTCGCCCGTCGCCTCCTCGGTGTTGCAGGGTGAGGACGGAGCCAGCGAAAGGGAGGGAGGAGGGAGAGAGAGAGAGATAATAATAAAAAAAAGGGGTGGGGGGGACGGAAGGGTTGGGGAGGCGGGGCTAAGCACCGAAGCAGCTCGGAGAGTTGGCGGGCAGGCTGCTTCTCTCCTTTTTCCCTTCTTTTAATTGACTCTCGGGGTTTTTTTCCCCCTCTCTCTCGCTCTCTCCTACCCTTCTCCGCCCCGCTGGCATGCGAGGCGTTTGATTGGGGAGGGTGGGGTCGCTGAGTGACCACCGAGCAAGCCTTATTTATTTATTTATTTATTTATTTTGCTCCCCCAAGCATCTTCGCCGTTCTTCGCTTCTCCAGGTTTTATGTTTCCGTGTAGCGGGAAAACTCGAGCTTAGAAAGAAAAGAATACCTGCGCGTATTTTTCGATATATATAAAAGGAAAAAGGAAGGAAGGAAGGAAAGAAAGAAAAGAGGAGCCGAAGAGCAGCGGCGGCGGTGCCGAGCCTTGCTCGCCAAGTATCCAGTGTATCCCTGCCTCCATCCCGCTCGGAGGAGTTTCTAAGGCAGTTGCCTCAGCTTCAGGTAAGACCTGGGTTGGTGGGTTGCATGTCCGGACAGCAGTGCCGTGTTTCGGGTGGGTGGGGAGCAAGCAAGGAAAAGGGGGGGGGGCAAAGAAAAAGAGCGCGAAACCAGAAAGTCGCCCCAGTCCTGGGAGTCGCTGCTTGCCCCTTTGCGGGGATATTTTATGAAGAAGTCTTCCTTCCCCGACGGGACGGGACGAGGTGGAAGAGAAGCATGCTTCATTCCCAGGCGGTTTCTGCATCGCGACGGGCGCACCCCAAAGCTCGGCTCTCCCTTCCTTCCTTCCTTCCTTTCTTCCTTCCCCTTTTGCCCAGCGCCGTCGGAATCGTCCCCCCAATTCCTCTTGGATTTTCGGGTCTTCATTTTAGTCTAAACGTGTTGCGATGCTTTCCGTCGAGGCGACGAATCGATAAGTTTGCCTTCAGAAATCGTGGCCGCTCCATCAGTGGAGGTTTTTTTTTTTTTTTTTTTAAAGAAGAAGAAACAAGCTGGCCAGTTATTTGTCTGAGTATATATAGTCCTGCTTGAGCGGGGGCGGGGGGTGGACTAGAAGACCTCCAAGGTCCCTTCCGGCTCTATTCTATATCCTAAGTTTGTGTGTGACACGGGGACCCGAGCCAACCTTTTGACCTGCTCCCCTCTTAAAAGACACTTCAAATTATCTGGGGAGTGGGGTGGGAGGGGGTGTTTTTCTTGCGTCCCGAAAGCGACGTGCCCTTTCCCCAACCTTTGGTTGCCAATTGTTCACCTTGCTGGTCTTTTTTTTAAGCTAAAAAAAAAAAAACCCACCTCTGCCGCGCGCTTACTTCAGAGGAATTACGGTTGATTTCTAAATAACTGCTTTGGAATAAAGCAAGCTCGAGTTCCGATGCTGGGCTGGCGACTTGCTCACCGGCCCCCGCTACTGAACTGGGACTTATGGCTGTGTAAACCTGCATGGAAACGGCTTGTAAAGGCGAGAAAGGATGGTGGAATTTGTCGTCCGTGCTGTTTGTGCGAAGAGAGGTGCTGAATTCCGAAGAAGCTGAAAGACTGCTGCCAATTACGTTTGTTGTTGTTGATGTTGGGTTTTGCTTTTTTTTTTGGCTAAGAAATAGATAAAAAGGACAATCGTAGGTAGAAGCGCAGCCCTTTATGTAAAACGGTGGTGGGGATGATGTAGCAGGGAAGAAACACACACACACACACACACACAACTCTGCCCCGTTGTGTATGATTCTGCCTCGCCTCCAGTTTCCACTTCAAGTTTATCCGGGCAACTCCAGATAGAGATATTAACTTTGCCAGGTACCAAATAGCAGCCTAATCACTTTTGCAAAAAAGCCAAGCCACTTGACAAGGCGATGTGTTTCAGGCTCACCTTTGGTTGTGTTATCATTAATTAGAATGAATAATAATAAAAGAAGAGAAGCTGAGTAACAATGGAAGGGTGGTTGAAGGAAAAAATCCAGAGACGGTTTGCCGCCTTCCTCCAGAGATGATTATTTTTCTCCCTTGAAGTATAAAACTTGTTTATATTTTACAGAATCACAAAAAAAACCATCTATGTTCCAGCAAAGTAAGAGGGTGAGGTTGGTTTTTGTAGGCATGTGGTGGCTGAAAGTAGACTTGCAATAGGAATAAAGGCACATACTGTATGGGTTGTGTGGTGTGGTGTCTGTGCACAGCTGGCGTGCATGTTTCCCTACCAGCGTATTCAGCGCAAATGCTCCAACAACTTTTACTATATGCCAACATGTGTTGTGTTTTCTGAATTTAAAATTCTCTCTTTCCAATGGTGGTGGTTAGGTTTTTGTGTCAGGAACAACATAATGTAGCACGTTGCTTATTACTTATCCTAGACCGAAGCAGCTTGCTCACTAAACAACAAATGATGAGGGTGCAGCTTGCATAATGAACAGGGAGCGTTAACATCTTACATACTGATTTTCACTTACGGTAAATGAATGCAGGACTGTGGTTGGCAATTCAGTATTTGCGATGATCATTATGCTACCGTGACATTTCAGAATCATGAAAATGTATTTTCTTTTTATTTATTTATTTTTGGATTCCTTTTTAAACCATCAGACTTCTGAGACAGTTGTAGGCTCTATATTACAGTATTAAAACCATTTTAAAATACTAATTGTGGCAAAGTAATTTGTACAAAGTTAGGCATAATGTGCAGTTTATATACATTATATTCTTTCAAATCATAATCCAAAAATACATTGGATTCATTGTCCCCTTTTTGAAAAAAAAGAAGTGAAAACTATGTACTCTTAACTATTAATATAGATATACATATAACTTGAACAACAGTTGCACGATTGCAGCAATTTAAAAATTAAATAAATGGATTTTACAGATACAACTCTGACCTGTAAAAATCTGGACCATAACAAAAATGGCAGCAAATATATATTTTTATTTAATTGTAGCCCAGATTTGGTGGCCCTTCTGTGAAACAAACTGGACTGTTTTAAAACACATGTTACATTGCGAAAAATCTGTTTTGTCTCACTTGGAATGATTGATAGATAGAATAATCTATCTCATGCTTGGAATAATTTCAAATGCTGCCTTCACTGTAACTTTGCTTGTATCATTTTTAGCCGGTATATTTTATCTGCAAACTTTTGTCGCTCATCATGGATACAACTTATTTAACTTTTCTTTTAAAAAAAGTTGAAACACTTTTTGCTTTTTACAATTGGTATCGACTTCTGTCGTGTTCAAAGATTGCTGTAGGTTTTTTAAGGACAGTAGCAGCTGTGAAGTATGTGTATATGTTGTGAATGAGATTATTTCTATAATCAAAGCTGCTTTCACACTACAGCTGATAAGGAATAGTGCTGTTCCCAATCAACAAGGCTTATTTTACATAAATGCTACTAAGCAGGTGTGTTATTATGACTATTATTCTAAGCAGAGTCTCCTAGAAGAATACCACTGAAATGATTGCCAAAGCTGTGTGCTTAAATAGTTGATAACCACTTTTAGAAACAAGAAAGTTGTATTCCTTAAGTATCTACTTTTCTAAAACATGGTGGGAAATATGTTGCTTTTCAAAATGTAATAGTACAGGGCACAGTAGAGCAATATAAATGATAATAATTGTCCATGGCATAGACAGCAAGACTCAATTTGATCTGGTGGTTAAAATGCTGGATTAGAAACAGGGAAACCTGAGTTCTAACCCTACCCAAAAACCAGCCAAGTTACCTTGGATGACTAGTTCCTATTGCTTTAGCAAGAAGGCAATGGTAAACCACTTAAAAAAAACTAACTGCATGGGCTGTGAACCAGAAACCAACTCTGACTCCACCCCAGACCCACAGAATGAGGTATAGTGTGGTGCTGCCACATATCCACTTTTGATTTATTTTGATTTGCAGAATGGTTGTTTCAAGAGAACAGTAACTCAGTAGTGGGACACTACATTACAAGGTGTATTAGACCAATGATGTGACACAGTGGCTAAATTTGGTCAATATATTAAAACTTTTTAAAAGGAATATGACTAATGGGATAGGCCAATAATTTGGATGGGTAGTGTGGCTGTTTGATTTTGTATTTATTGTATGGGGCAGGTCTATTATTTGTTTGTTCGTTTGTTTGGTACGTAGGGATGCCCATTTTAGAGTGGGCGAGTCACAACAGAAGTGCAAAATGTGAGGTTTCTGGGTCACATGTTGCCATTGAAAGTTGTGAGTCTGGTCAGTGGAGATCTGTGCAGGAAAAGAAGCAATGGATGGAAACTTATCAAGGAGAGAAGCAACCTGGAGCTAAGGATTTCCTGTCAGAACAATTAGTCAGTGGAACAACTTGCCTCCAGAAGTTGTTGATACTCCAACCCTGTAAGTTTTTAAAAAGAGATTGGGCAAACCAATGGAATAGGGTTTTCTGCCTGAGCAGGAGGTTGTACTAGAAGACCTCCAAGATCCCTTCCAACTCTGTTATTCTATTATCTCCAAAAGCTGAATTTTTAAAGGTGTTAAAGGGGAAATTATTAAATATATGTGTTTAGAGCAGTCATATAAACATTTAATTTTAGTTGCATGTAACAAGTTACATTGGAAATAACTTTCATACAGGTATCTTGATTTTGGAGTGCAGCGTTTGGCAAAAAAATTTTTTAAGGCTTATTTCACCTTCAATGATATATATTAGCTGAACCTTTTCAGCAATGAGTGCTGAAACAGGAGTGCACGCTCGATGGGGGGGAGTGCCGGAAACTGGGCAAGCAGCTCCCCGGCATGGATGTGCATGCTGGGCATCTGAGCTTTTGTTTTCCGGCATGCCGGTCATCTGGTCTTCCAGTTTCTGATGAGCATGCGCACACGAATACCAGCTGGCCAGAATGCTTGTGCGCTCCAGAACTCGGAAGAGCAACAGGTGATGGCTGGCATGCCTGGAGAGATGGCTCTGTGTGCCACTTCCAGCACGCATGCCATAGGTTTGCCATCACAGATATATATTCTGGATTAAGATCTAGTACATTGTGTATCAGATTGTTATGAGTTTCTTTATATCATAAATAAAATAAACTAGTTTTGGGCATTATGTAAACACAGCAAGTAAAAGAATCTTAGATGTTACTGTTAAAGTGTAAACATTTCAAATTTGTTTTAAAAAATAATCTTTAAACCTAATTAACACAAATAAATAATATTCAGTAGCATAGGTAAACTGATCACTTTAAGCAATTTATTTATTGATGCTTTATCCTAACAAAATGAGACAGTGGCCTGTAGAAACTTATGTATTTGTATGTCCATGCATGCACAGCTTCTCAATTTTTTAAAAAAACAAGACTCAAAAGTCTTCTACCAAGCATATCACAAGCTTGACTGGACTAAACCTCCATGTTTACTTTTTCATTACACCCATAACTGTGAACAGTAGTCTGAAGTAGTTGCTAAATTAGGAGTAACTGTATCTGCTATTATTCTGTATTTTAAGCATTTTGTAAATAATGGAAAATTGAATCCTAAACCAGCAAATAAATTTCTGTT